GCTCGACTCCACTAACGCCGATGGCATCAGCGCCCTGCACCAGGTCAGCGCCCCCGGCCCCTTCCGGGCCCTGATCCGACCTGGGTCTGCGCGCCCTCGAGCACCGTCCCTCCCCGGTCCGGAGGCACCGTTGCCGGAACTGGTGTGCGCCGTCGAGGCCGGCCCCGGTCCTTGCCATCCTGTGCTGATCCCCTCTCCAAGCACCCTTTCCCATCCCACCCACCTCGAGCTCCGCTCTTCCATTCGTGAGCCGCTTGACCTGGCCTTGGCCTTTGCCATCCAGCGCTGCCCTCTCCCTGGACCCGAGCCATTGCTGATGGCCTCCGTCCGGTCCATCTCACTGGTCCTGGTCGTTGTCGCTTCGCGCTGCCGTCTTCTGACCCTGAGCGCCCTTTACTAGTCTCGTCTGTGCCGCCTCCGCCGGTGCCGCCTCTATTCTGCCACCTAATGCTGCCGCCTCTTTCCCGAGTCCGTGCCACTTCTTCCAGCTCTGCCCCTGCCACCTCTTTCGGCAGCACTCGTACCTCCTCTGGCCTTCTGTTTCCCCCTTCCAGGCGGGTACCACTTTCACTGAGATGCGTTCTCCTCTTTCCTGGGCCTGTGCTTCTTCCTCCACTGGTCTCTGGTCTGGGCCACCTCTTTGGCTTGTCCAGATCCTTCCTTGCCACTTCTTTCAGGTTCCTTCTTCTCCCCACTCCTTCTCACCCTTGGTCTGTGCCATCTGTTGCTGTCTCAGGATGTCTTTCTTGAGCCACTGCCTTCTAGGTTCTGTACCCTTGAATTGGATGCTTCCCAGGTCTGGGTCATCTCCTGCTGTCTACCCCACCTCCTTCCACCCCATGCACTCTTAATTCTTCTGGGCCTGTGCCACCTCTTGCCTCCCACCATGGGCCTTTTCTCAGGGATGTTTCTCCTTCTCCAGGCACCTCCTTCTCTTCCCCTCTCTGCCCTTCCCTGAGCTAGGCCTGCGTTGTCACCCTTTTTTGTGGGCAACCTCAAAGCACCCACCTCTTCCTGGTTTGGGCCACCTCTCTACCCTCTGGTCGTCTTGCTTTCTTTGCCCAGATACCCTCTTCTTCTGTGGAGTTGGGCAGCTTCTCCATCCCATAGACTGTGTGATCTCTCTCAGTGCCTGTTATGTCCCATTTTCAAGGGTTCTAGAACCCTGTTAGTGCCGTCCGTCCACAGCTTGGGCCTGTGCTTTTCCAAGACACCCTGATCGTTGCCTCCAGTGTCCCTGTGTCCCAGGACCAGGGCCACCTTTTGCCCCAGGGTTCTCTCAGACTCTGGGTGCTTTTCTCTACCCCCACCACTCAATGGGACTCCGAGAGCCAGGACTGGCCACAGAGGAGCCTCCATCCCCACCTCTCCCCCTATCCCTGAGGCCATCGCCTTCCTAGTCTCTCGAAACTAGGCCAGTCCCCAGTCCTCTCCTCCCTGCCAGAACCCCTAGCGTTTGGTTCCTGATGCATCCAGAGAGGACCCTAGGAGGGAGAGGTTGGCAGGGGGGGCGGGGCATACTTGAGGAGGCCCACTTCCCAGGTCCCCAGGAAGAGGAGCAGTTCAGGAAAATAGTAGTGCTGATCTCAGCTCCTCAGCTCTGTGAGCTTGAATTAGTGTCTTTTCACGCCGTGTCTCAGTTTTCTAACCTAAAAAATGGGGCGAGTAGGCAGTCCCTCCCTGGCCAGGCTCTGGTGAAGGAGGGAGGCCTTGTGTGTGGAAAACTCCCTCAAGAAGCGCTGAAGGCATTAGGTTGGGGAGTGGGCGCCCTGGTGCTGCCCCTCCCTGCTTTCTCTTTCCGCACCCCGAGGCCTGGCCCCTCCAGAGGCCTCAGTGTGTTCTGGGACGTTTTCTTCCACCCAGAGGACGGTCCTGCTTCCCTGAGGCCTCGCGGGGTCTCAGAGCTTGGCAAGCCCAGGAGAGAAGCCTCGGCCCCAGTGTCTCTCTTCCTCCGCCACCCTCCCTGCCCCTGGCTCCCCTGGACCTTCCCTTTTCTTCAGGCCAAGCCCCATTCCCCAGCATCCCCCTTGGCCTAGACCCCACAAAAGGCGGCTCCAGCCTGGCTGTCAGGCTGCCGTTTCAGGTGGGATCTCTTGAGGCGAGCACTTGACAAACTCACTCTCCAGGGCTTTGCAGGAGGCCTGAAGGATTAGGGCGCCTGAGGTTCAGAGAGGGGAAGTTCCCGCCTCAGGTCACAGGGTCAGCAAGCGGGGCGGCTAGAGTTTGGGTCAGGCCTGGGTGTAGGGTGACCAAATCATGCTGGTTTGCCTGCGACTGGCCTGGTTTTAGCACTAAAAGTCCCGGGTCCCAGGAAATCCCCAGTCCTGGGCAAACTGGGACGGTGGCTCACCCCATCTGAGTGAGTGCTGGCCTGTGGTTTCTGTTCTCAGTCCTGCCTAGAACGGTCGCCAGGCATCAGCCACCTGCCCGGGTTGTGGCCCTAGGAGTTCTCAAGCCTCAGCCCCAAGCACTTGATGAGGCTGATACACTCTCTCCCCTCCCCGAAATTGCATTGTGAGTTAGTGGCTGGGGGTCTGCGGTCTGGAGTAGAAGGGTTGGGAGCCAGGATTCTTAGGTCTGAACAGGGAGGGTTGGGGGCCTGGACTCCCAGGTCTGAGGGAGGAGGAGGTGGGATCCTGGACTCCCGGGTCTGAGGGAGGAGGGGCTGGGGGTCTGGACTCCTGGGTCTGAGGGAGGAGGGGTTGGGGGTCTGGACTCCCCTGTCTGAAGGAGGAGGGGTTGGGCGTCTGGTCTCCTGGGTCTGAGGGAGGAGGGGCTGGGGGTCTGGTCTCCTGGATCTGAGGGAGGAGGGCCTGGGGGTCTGGACTCCTGGGTCTGAGGGAGGAGGGGCTGGGGGTCTGGACTCTGGCATCCCTGGTGCCCAGGCTTCAGGCATCTTTCACATGGATGCCTGTGCTGGGCCAGGTCCTTGAAAGGGAAAGGCCCATCTCCCTCCTTGCCCCCCCCATCGCCATGACAACCGGGTGGAAATAAACGGAGCCCAGAGTTCATCCCGTTCCCAGGGCACGTGTGGCCCCCCTCTCGCAGCCTGAGTTTCCATGACTTCATGCTCTTGGCCCTCGTAGCTTCCTCCCCCCTTCTCCAGATGGGCAGTTTTGGAGAGGTGAGGGAGTGGGGGGCTAATTTAGCCTGGGGACCCAGGAGTGCAGGTCCACCCCGCTCAGGTCCCAGTGCCCAGCAGTGTTTGCGTGTGCCCTGGGCTGAATCCTTTCTCCGCCCGCACGTGCTGTGCCATCTTCAGCAAGGGCTTTTATCTCCCGGAGCTTTGATTCTTCCTCCATAAATTAGAACCCTGACAGCGGGAGGATGAGGGAAGATGGCCCGGGGAAACCCCTTGGCTCAGCGCCCTGTGCACAGTAGGCCCTCAGTGCGCCGGCGCTGTGTCTCCTTGGGCCCCAGGCCCTGGGCAAACGCTAGTAGCCGTCTCTCCCACTTCAGGAGCCCTGCCCAGGACCCTCCCTCCCTCTCTCCCACGTTCCCGGGGATCTGTGACTTTACCAGCCCTGCGGCACAGCCTTGGGCCCCAGGGGCCCAGCTGTCTCCCCTCAGGGTGCAAGGCAGGGCCACGGTCAGTTCCTGGAGAGTATCTGTTGGGTCTGAGGAGGAGGGGCTGGGCCTCTGCCTTAGGTTCATCACCAGAATCCCCGTCCTGTCGGTGGGGACTGTGGGCTATGTCACATCTATTGAGCACCAGGATTCCCACACCTGGGTGTGAGGCCTCTCTTTCTTCTGTGTCCACTTCCTGTTTGCAGGGAGCTGGGAGCCTCTCATGGTCTCCACCGAGCTCTGGATGCTCGGCTGACCTAACCATTGGGAAGCCAGGGGAGTCTTAAACAGCCACGTGGTAGAGGGGCGTCCAGGGGCCGGGCTGGTGCCTTCCAGGGCCTACCGCAGGGCCTTTAGTGTCTTTTCCTTGAATGTCCCGGCCACTTGGCCCCTGGATCTCTCTCCTGGTCCCTGTCGGGAGTCCTGCCTTACTGGACGTGCCGTGTCTGGACGAGGTGAGGGCCGACAGCCCTGTCCCCGCCCCCAGGCGTGCATCGATGAGAACCTGGAGGTGGTCCGCTTCCTGGTGGAGCAGGGCGCCACAGTGAACCAGGCGGACAACGAGGGCTGGACACCCCTGCACGTGGCCGCCTCCTGTGGTTACCTGGACATCGCCAGGTGAGGCGGGGGGAGAGTGGGCAGGACCCAGTGGGGGCTGGGGCTTAGATCCCTCAGCCCTGACCTCCCCCGACCCCCAGGTACCTCCTGAGCCACGGGGCCAACATCGCCGCTGTCAACAGCGATGGTGACCTGCCCCTGGACCTGGCCGAGTCTGATGCCATGGAGGGGCTGCTGAAGGCGGAGATCGCCCACCGAGGTGGGCCTCTGGGTGCTGCTGCGGTGGGGCGTGGGGGGGTCCTCCTCCCTGTGTCCTCGAGGTCTAGAGCTTGGGGAGCAGAGTGCTGGGGCTCAGAGGCCGGCTCCCCATTCCCTGGGACTCTGACTCTCTCTGAGCCTCAGTTTCCTTACCTGAGAAATGGGGGCTAAGTACCTCCCCGGGGTTGCTTGGAACATCACATGAGTAATTGGATAAAGGGCCTGTGCCACTGCTGGGCACAGAATAAGAGATCAAACTGGTATTGATCTGAATCATCATTTCACTGTCCAAGTAACTGAGGAAATGCAGGGGAGGAGTTGGGGGGCTCATCCGGGGGTCTGTTAGGTGAGATTGCAGGGACGCCCACTGCAAGTCTTCTCGGGAGTGTGTGCTGAGGGGGCAGTGGAGGAATGCAGGGGCTTCTGGGGGACTGGTCTCCCCATGCTCAGGATCACTGCACCCTAGGGGTCCTGGACCCCCCAAAATTCTGTCTGGCCGTGTTCTTCTTTTAGGGAGAGCATATGTTGCTTCTAGCAGATTCTCAGAGGGGCTTGTGACCACCTCCCCCGTCACACTAAAAATAGCCACCGAGGACCTGCTGACACGCAGGGCGCGTGGGGAGGGCTGTGGTCTGACTGCCCGGGAAGCAGAGGACGCGGGGGCAGGTTGGGGGGGGGACGTGTAGTGGCGTCATCGGGTCTCTGGGGCTGTGTGACACCCTCGGGACCCCACCGGAGCCCTGGGTCACAAGTGTGGCTTCTGGAGTCCGACTTTCTGGGTTTGCATCCTGGCTGTGCGGGTGACGGGCTTGTTCATAGAGTGACAATGGCGGCAGCACTGCCTCGCGGGGTGGGGGTCGGGGCTCAGTGAGGCGGTGGATGAAAAGGTGTGAGCGTGGGCCGGCCCGGTGGCGCGAGCGGTTAAGTGCGTGCGCTCTGCTGTGGTGGCCCGGGGTTCGCCAGTTCGGATCCCGGGCGCGCACCGACGCACCACTTGTCAGGCCAGGCTGTGGCGGCATCCCATATAAAGTGGAGGAAGATGGGCACGGATGTTAGCCCAGGGCCAGTCTTCCTCTACAACAACAAAAAATAGAGGAGGGTTGGCAGATGTTAGGTCAGGGCCGATCTTCCTCAAAAAAAAAAAAAAGAAAAGAAAAGGTGTGAGCGTGGGGCCGCAGGTCTGGAGGACCATGTAGGAAGTAAATGATGAAAGATGGATACGGGGAGTCTGGGGTGACGCCCACAGTCCCGGCTTGGCTCTTGTTGCCTTGCGGCCGGCCTGGATGGAAAGGCTAAGGGCCTGGCCTCGGCAGGTCAGGTGAGAGAGCCGTGCGGGGTGCAGAGGCACTGGCGGGGCTCATGGAGGTGCCGGGAGTCTGGCCCCCTGCCTCAGTTAGAGTAGGGGGGTGAGTAAAGCAAGGGCAGCCCTGGGCTTTTCTCCCTCCTCCTCCACCTTTTGTTTTGAAAACCTTCAGACCTAGAGAACGGCGGTGCCGGTGGTTCAGCGAGCACCGCGTGAGCCTCGCTGAGGCGCAGCAGGGGTTGATAGCAGCTTCATGGAGACGTAACTCCGTCCGCACACTTCGCCCCTCGGAAGGGTATGGCCCAGGGGTTCTGTGAGTCTCCACCGTGGTGTGCATCCATCACCTCATCCACTTGAGATGACTTTGATCACCCCAAAACACACCCCGCACCCCTTCACCCTCAGCCCGCTCCCCGTCCCCTCAGCCCTAGGAAACCACCCGGCGGCTTGCTGTCCCTATGGATTTGCCTATTTTGGACGTCTCGTTTAAATGAGGTCACACGGTATAGACTCAAAAACTCAAAGTTTTCAGCTTTTTGACACACTTGTGTGCACCCCCCCATCCCGCCCCACATAAATACTCCTCTTTTTTTCTTTCCTTCCTTCCTTTTCTTCCCTGCTTTCCCTTTTTATTTTTCTTTCTCTCCCTCCTTGTCTCCCTCCCTCGCTCCCTTCTCTCTTTCCTGAACCATTTTTTTTTTAAAGATTTTATTTTTATTTATTTCCCGCCCCAAAAACCCCAGTAGATAGTTGTATGTCATAGCTGCACATCCTTCTAGTTGCTGTATGTGGAACGCGGCCTCAGCATGGCCGGAGAAGCGGTGCGTTGGTGCGCGCCCGGGATCTGAACCTGGGCCGCCAGGAGCGGAGCGCGCGCACTTAACCGCTAAGCCACGGGGCCGGCCCTTTCCTGAACCACTTTGAGAACGTTTAGCAGACACTGGAGCCGGTGTCTCCCAGCACAAGGACACTGATAACCACATGGGGATGTAGCGTCATTTCTCTCCTGTCGGTGTCAGGACCCGTGTGACCCATGAGATGTTCTAGCCTCCCCCTCTCTCGCCCTGCACTTGGTTCTCACGTCTCCCGGGTCTCCCTGCGTCTGGAACAGTCCTCGCTTCCTCTCCCTCCCTTGTTTTCCTCACAGCGACCCTCGGCTTGGACGTGGCTGTTCTTTCACGATGAGATTGAGTTCTGCATTTTTGGCAGGAACTTGTCAGTATGTCACTCCGGGAGACAGGCGCAGTCTGTCTGCCCCATTACTGGTTACTGGTGATGTTAACCTTGAGCTGCTTTCGGGGGCGTCGGCCAGGTGGCTGTATGCTCTACGGGAAGACGTCTTCCTCCCTTTGTGATTAAAAAGCAGTCTGCAGGGCGATGCTTGGAGGCTGCTTCTGTGGGTCTCCACCTGGAGTCCCCAGATCCTGGGGACACAAGAATGGTCACCAGGGGGTCCCTGAGCTCTCAGACATTCTGCGTTTTTCTGCAGGAATCGCCCATAGCTCGCATCAGCTTCTCAAAGGGGTGCATGTTCCCCTTCTGTGGGGCGAGGAGGTTAGGGGGATATTGGCTTGTAGGGCCAGCCAGGCACAAAGGAAACCACTGGAAAGACCCTCGGCTGCACTGCTGTGGGGGACACCGCTGCACCTGCTCTTCTGGATTCCCAGGGCCTCTGCTGACACGTCTCCATGACACTCGCCTTCACGTGGACGCCCCAGCGGAGTGTGGGCAGCGGAACCTGGGTCTCAGGCTGCACCAGCGGCAAGGAGGGCATGAGGGACACATGTCTAGAGGACAGAGAACCCCCAAGCATGCTGGGCGTCCAGATGGGTGCCGGCTACAGTGTAACCCTGGCAGCCGCCAACACCAGGGCCTGGAGCGAAGACAGTGCCAGTGATGGAGGTGGACGGAGGCCGGGGGCTCCAGGAAGGGAGGCGTGCTCACTGTGGACGCTGCCTCATGCTCGGCTTCCTGTTTCTTGGGCCGCTTCACCGCCCCGCCTCACTTACTGTGTCTCTCTCTGAGTCTGCTGTTCACTGAGAGGATCTAATCTGCTCAGCAGTTACCCGGGGCACACCTCTCGTCCAGCTGGAAGGCCTCTGGTCCTCTTGGCTCAGCTGCTGACATAGGCACAACTCTGCAGGTACCAGAAACCCATTGCAGCCTGCCTCAGGCCAAAGAGGCGGTTTATGCACCCATGTTCACAGTAGCATTATTCACGGTAGCAGAAAGGTAGAAGCAGCCCGGATGTCCATCGACGGATGAATGGACCGTGTGTGGTACGTGCATAAGGTTCAGCCTTAAACAGGAAGGAAATTCTGACACATGCCACAGCATGGATGAACCTGGAGGACATTGTGCTCAGTGAAATAAGTCAGGCACAAAAAATGCAAATACTGTGATTCTACTTATATGAGGAATTTGACTATTTTAGTCAAATTCACAGAGACAGAAAGTAGAGTAGTGGTTACCAGGGGCTGGGGGGAGGGGAGAATGAGGAGTTGTTGTTTAGTGGGTACTGAATTTCAGGTTTGCAAGATGAAGAGAGTTCTGGAGATGGATGACAGGGGTTGCATGACAGTGTGAATGGACTTAACACTACTGAACTGTGCACTTAGAAATGGTTAAGATGGTAAATTTTATGTGTATTTTACAACAGTTTTGAAAAAGAAAGACAATTTATGGGCTTATGTAACTGAGGTCTAGGAGTTATATGGACTTCAGGCACAGTTTGCTCCAGGGGCACAAACAAAGTCAAAGTCATCTCTACGTCACTCTGCTGAACTCTACTCTGCTGAACTCTGCTCAGCTCGGCATTGGCTTCATTCTTTTTTTTTTTTTATAATTTTATTTATTTATTTATTTTTTCCCCCAAAGCCCCAGTAGCTAGTGGTATGTCATAGCTGCACATCCTTCTAGTTGGTGTATGTGGGACGCGGCCTCAGCATGGCCGGAGAAGCAGTGCTTCGGTGTGCGCCCGGGATCTGAACCCGGGCCGCGAGTAGCGGAGCGCGCGCACTTAACCGCTAAGCCACAGGGCCGGCCCCTTGGCTTCATTCTTACGCAGGTTCTCTCAATGAGGTACTTAGCATGGCTCTCAACAGTGCAGGCTGATATCTCAGCTGAACTAGAACTAGGCTTCCTCAATAGTCCCAGCCACAATCCTCTGTGTAACGCTCATTGCTCCACATTGGTCACAAGCCAGCCCCCGAGCCAATCACTGTGGCAAGGGGGATGGCCAGGTCCGGTGATGTGGCCACCCATGGAGCCAGGCTGTGGGCTCAGTCACATCAGAACCACATGGGGTGAAAGCAGCCTTGAGGAAAATGAAGACGTTATGAAGGAGGGAGAACGGATGCCAGCAAGTCCAAGCAACAACTCCCCTACAGATGCTGTTCCCACAGCCCAGGCCTCAGGGGCAGCCCTCAGGGACACTGTGTCCTGCACGGACAGGACCCTCTGGCCACTTTGCTCAGAAGAGCTGTGGTTGGACCCAGAGGGACCTGGAGCTGGGCGGGAAGGAAACTTGAAGTGTTTCTGAAACATTTGAAGCAATCCCACTTGGAATGCCCGCATCCAGGACAGATGGACGAGGGGGAGTTCCTCTCCAAGACAGGCAGAACAGACATTCGACAGCTCCAGGCTGGCGGGGCTGGAGCGACGGGCACTGTTATTTCTGGCTGGCGGAATGTTGGCGATCACAGCCACTTGGGGAAACAGCTGGACATCATGGATTATAGCTGATGATCCACGTTCCCCGTGTCCTGGCTGTTCCACTCCTAGGTCACCCGAGAGAGGCTCTCCCACCCGCAGACAAGAATCTTCATCACAGTATTGTTTGCGGTTGTGAGAGGTTGGGGCCTACGCCAAAGGGAGAACGGATAAATTAGGGGTCTAAGCAGGGGTTCGGGCAACTTTTTCTGTGAAGGTCTGGACAGTAAGTATTGTAGGCTTTGAAGGACGCACTGTCATGTTGCAAGTACTCAGACCACTCCACCCTGCTGCAGTAGTGGGGAAGACAGCCAGGGATGATATGTAAATGAGTGGGCATGGCCGTGTTCCAATAAAACTTTATTTACAAACAAAGGTGGCTTTCCAGGATAGGCAAATCCATAGCGACGGGAAGTAGATTGGTGGTTGCTAGGGGCTGGGGGAGGGCGGTCCCGGGAGTGACTGCTTAATGGGTTTCGGTTTGGAGAGATGAAAAAGTTCAGGAACTAGATAGGCTGGATGGTTGCACAACATGGTGAAGGTCCTAAGTGCCACTGAATTGTACATTTTAAAATAGGGAAATTGGTAAATTTTATGTTGTCTTTATTTTACCACCACCACCACAAAAAAAGTGAAAACCAAACAGGTGGCCTGCACCCACAGGCTGTACTTTGCCAACCCCCATCAAGAGCTGTTAATAAACACAGGCAAATCTCAACAAAAAGCAAATTGCGGGACGCGTGTAAACATGCCCAAGAGGACTGACTGGTTGCTGAATGAAAAGTCAGTAAACTCCACCCTTCCCCTCCCTGAAGTAAGGCCCATTCAGCCCGAATAGAATTGAATGTAGGTGGTTCCCTTTAAGGAAGTGGGGGAGGGGGAGGGGGGGCAGGTCCCTGAGTCCCCAGCTCCCTCCCGGCCTCTCCACCCCAGCCTGGGCTTGCAGGATGGGCCCTAACCAACCAGACATTCCTGGAAGAGCTGCCACCGTCCAGTCCCCGCAGCCGGGAGACCCAGAGGTGATCCCATTGGTGTGTAGGCCCGGGTGCTCAGGTGCCACCAGGTGGCGCCAACGCGCAGCCCGGACCTGAACGGATTTGGTCCTGCAAGGGGAGGCTAACGCCAGCTCAGTCTGAGGGGACCCCATGGATAGCATTAGGGCAGAAGTTTACAATACTATATGTAGCAAGGATATAACAAAATACACGTTGATGAAAGCAAACTTGTGATGGTGGTTACCTCGGGGGCCGCAGGGAGCGGGATGAGATCAGCGAGAGTCACATGGGGGCCTCTGTTGTCTCTGTCATATTTTAATTGTTCAAGCCCAGTGGCAGTACATGGGGTTCTTTGCCAGTGTGTCCAGTGGAAAGCCAGTGTGAGGCACAAGTGTGATTGAAAATTTTCAAGTAATGCATTTAAAAAAGGAGAAAAGTGAAATTAACTGTAGTAATATATTTTATTTAACCCCGTATATCCAAAACATTATCATTCCCATATGTAATCAATATAAAAAAACTAGTCATGAGCTGCTACACAGTTTTCTTCATCCTTTGAAATCCAGCTTGTATTTTACGTTGACGACACATCTCAGTTCGGACTGGCTACATTTCAGCTGCTCAGTAGCTCATGTGGCTGGTGGCTGCTGAGCAGGACAGCTCAACTCCATACAGCACTTTGATAAGTGAGAAATTTCACAGTTGAAAAAATAATAGATGAGCAGCCGGCCCGGTGGCGTAGTGGTTAAGTGCGTGCTCCGCTTTGGAGGCCCGGGGTTCGCAGGTTCGGATCCCGGGCGCGGACCCACGCATCATTTATCAAGCTGTGCTGTGGCAGTGTCCTGTGTCTAATGTAGAGGAAGATGGGCACGGATGTTAGCCCAGGGCCAATCTTCCTAAAAAAAAAAAAAAAAAAAAAGGACAAAAATAAACTTCCCAGGAGAAAGATTGAATATTCTCTAGGAAAGACCATTATTTCGACTCCTGTCTCAATAGTTTATAGCATGCAAAATACAGACTCTCAGTGACAGTCAGTAGGTAATCCAGCCTCAACAAAGCTGCCTGTTTTGATCCAAACTCCACTTATATTTAATTTAAAGTCATAACTTGTTTTTTGCGTCTGTAAATGCAGTACAGTGTTCTGTGCAACCACTTGGATGCAGTGAAACTGACTGATGTGGAAGCTTGCTTGCCTCTTCCCGGATTGTTCTGGGTGATAGCACAGCCGGGAACAGGATTGGCACCTGGGTAGGAGAGAGGCTGTTGCCCCAGTGACATGGACGCTTTGTTTAGTGGCTGTTTGCTTGGTTTATCCTATTCACGAGTGGTGAAAGTGACAGTGGTGACAAAATGCATGCAGACACTGGGCCAAGGATTGTATCGGTAGTGATAGGAAGTGTTAGATGTCATCAGATGCTGGATTTGCTCAATAAGCTTCAGGTTTTCTACCTAAAAATAATGATAAAGATGATGCTCTGGTTGAAGCAGGAAAAGGCCCGTGATCTCTATTCTCCTAACTCCCAGCAGTGACTCGGAGACCCTTAGCGGAAGCCTGGGCTGCACAGAGCATGGTTGGGAAGTCACTGAGCTAGTCCAGGCCTCTGAGTCCCAGAGGAGCACACAGAGAGGGACTGGGCAAGGCACAGGGGCACAGCCCTGTGCTTCCTGGACCTTGGGGTGAGTCCACCTGTTACCCCTTCTCTCCTCCCAGGTGTGGATGTGGAGGCAGCCAAACGGGCCGAGGAGGAATTGCTGCTTCACGACACAAGGTGCTGGCTGAACGGGGGCGCCATGCCAGAGGCCCGGCACCCCCGCACAGGGGCCTCTGCCCTGCACGTGGCCGCTGCTAAGGGCTACATCGAAGTGATGAGGTGAGCTGGGCTGGTGTAGACCCTCCCTTTTCCCCTGCACCTTGCAGTGGGCTGGTCGGTTCTTTTGTGCTCTTACACCTTCCTGTGGATTTTGTCCATCCTGGCCTTTTCTCGTTTATGTACCTGAGGCTATGTATTTCCCTCTAAATACAGCCTTAGCTGCACACACAAGTCTTGGTGTGTAGTTTTCATTGTTATTCAGTTTAAAACATTTTCCAACTTGTAGTATTCTTTCTTTGACCCAGGGATTATTTAGACATATGTCTTTAATTTCCAAATACATGGGATTTTGCAGTCATCATTTTATTATACTCGTTTCCCAGCTTAATTGACAGTGGTCCGAGACGGTTCTGTATGATTCCAGATTTCTTTTTTTTTTTTTTCCTCCCTTTTTCTCCCCAAAGCCCCAGTGGATACTTGTATGTCATAGTTGCACATCCTTCTAGTTGCTGTATGTGGGACGCCGCCTCAGCATGCCTGGAGAAGCGGTGGGTTGGTGCGCGCCCAGGATCCGAACCCGGGCCGCCAGTAGCGGAGCACGCCCCCTTAACCGCCAAGCCACGGGGCTGGCCCCTGATTCCAGATTTCTGAAATTCCCTTGAGGTTTGCTTTATACCCCAGTTGTGTAAGCTGGAAAAGAACTGTGTTGTCAAATATAGTGTTCTATATAGGTTATGAGGTCAGCTCTGTAGTCGTGCTATTTGAATCTTCTTTGTCCTTAGTGATTTTTTTCCCATCTGCTTATTCTGTCAGTTACTGTGAGAGGTGTGGTAATGATTGTGGAATGATTAAGGAATCCCACTATGATTGTGGATTTTTCCTGTTTCTCCTTGTGGTTCTGTTGAATTTTATGTTTTCTATTTCAAGGCCAGGCTATTTGGTGCATATATCTTTTATAATTTTATTTATTTATTTTTCCCCCAAAGCCCCACTAGATAGTTGTATGTCATAGCTGCACATCCCTCTAGTTGCTGTATGTGGGACGCGGCCCCAGCGTGGCCGGAGAAGTGGTGTGTCAGTGCGCGCCCGGGATCCGAACCTGGGCCGCCAGCAGCGGAGCGCACGCACCCAACCGCTAAGTCACGGGGCCGGCCCAAGTGCATATATCTTTTAGGTCGTTAGAGTACATATTCCCTTCCTGTCACTCTCACCTCAGTCTTCTCCGTGTTTGGCTGCCTCACCCCTTTCTGTTGGGGTAGTTGGTTTCGGTCCGCATCTCAGGCTCCCGGCTCTCTCTAATTCCTCCCTCTCTCTTTTTTGTGATGTTACGCTTTATTTTTAGTGTGAAAATGGAGTTAAGATGAATCCCTCCATCTCTGCTGCCCTCTGTGTTGAATTTCGAGGCAGGTTTTCCAGTGAGGTGCGTAAGATGACCCCTGACAGCTCCAGGCTCATGTCCTGGCTGCTTCACCTGCTGTGACGTAGAGCACCTCGTCCTCCATAGTTGCAGCAGAGCTCCTGGGTCTAACAGGCTGCCTTAGGCACCTGCCCGTCCCAGAGCCGACCCCTGTGGCAAGGGGCTGGGATACTCTAAAGGGTCAGGCCCAGTGATGTGCCCAGCCCTGGAGGCCGTGCCCTCTTCTGCCCATGGCCTTCGCCCCTGAATCTCAGGTGGCTGCTTTGTCTCCTGCCATTGCATCTGCATCCCAGCCAGCAGGAAGGAGGAGAGGGCAAAGGGAGCAAATTCTGTTCCTTTTAAAAGAATAATCCAGAAGTGGCACACACACATAAGGCTGACATCCCATTTGCCAGATCCTACTCACCTGGCCATTCCTAGCTACAAAAACTGGGAGATTCCTCTTCAGCCAGTTGGCCGAACGTGTCCAGTGAAAGTCGGGAGCTATTATTAAAGGGAGAAGGAGAGTCGATATTTGTGGGCAGCCTCATTCTCTGCCTCAGAACTGAAACGCTGTGGGCTTAGAAATATTCACGGATCGTAACTTCATTCCCGCCCTTAGTGTGGGTTTGTGTTTACAGCCAAGTCTATTGACTGCGTGTTTAAGAGAACATAACTGGTGTTCTCCTCATTAAAGAGAAGTGGCAGAGTAGAGGTATACATTTGTTTGACATCATTCACCCACCACTTACTTACTGAGCACCTGCTGTATGCCAGGCAGTCTTCTAGGGGCTGGGGATACGGCGGCAAATGAGACCGATCTCGTGTGCAGCTCCCAGCCTCGTGGGGGGACAAACAGACAAGGGACCAAGGACGCAGTTCACACAGACGGCCCTCAGTGCTTAGAGTGGGGCTCGCAGCCTCCACACCAGTGACGTGGGGACAGATAACTCTGGGGGGCGTCCTGTTCATCGCATCCTGACCTCTGTCCCCTAGATGCCGGTCATGACAACCGAATGGTCTCTGGACGTTGCCACATGTCCCCTGGGGGTCAGCGTGGCTCCTGTTTGAGAACCACTGGCCTGGAAGGACATAAACAGGGTGATGGGAGAAGGCGAGTGTGGCGGGGGAGCGGCCCCCGTGAGATTTGGGGGTCTCCATGAGATGAGAAGGTGGTGGCTGTGCTGAGAAGGGGTAGCTGTGTGAAACGCTGTGACACCCCAAGAACACACGCCCACCAGGGAGAGAGCAGCGAGGCAGGGCGCGAGGCGGGCGCACCTGGGGGATAGCGGGACACCCAGCACGGTGGAGCAGAGTGAGCTCGGGGGAAGGTGTGGCGAGTCAGCGGGGCCACACAGGACTTTTTGTTTAAAAGGGTCTTTCTGAGATCTCTCATCTCCATCGTCTCCCAGCAGCTTTGCTCTTTCTCACTGACAAGGAACTTAAGCCAGCTCTAAAGGCAGGCACGTCTGCCCTGGGCCAAGTGTGCAGAATTGCCCTGGCCTCTCACCCTGCCTTCCCCCAGATCCCGCGGTCTAAGGTGGTGATTATCTCCCGGAACAGAGTCGTTAAGCCAGCGTTTCTCAGCCTTGGCGCTAGTGCATTTTGGACCGGATCATTCTTTGCTGTGGGGCCGTTCTCTGCGCTGTAGGATGTTTAGCAGCGTCCTTGGCACCATCCCACTAGGTGTTGCTGGCACCCACGCCTAAGTGGTGACAGCCGGAAACGTCCCCAGACACTGCCACATGTCTCCTGGCGGGCAGCACCGTGCCGGTTGAGAATCACTGCTCTAGGCCAGCCCGCTTCCCAGGACACTGCTGCCTCGAGGCCGCCCCTTCTGGGGGCTCATCCTTCTCATAGGCTTGGGGACTGGGGGAGCCCCCACCCCCCCTCCTCGGGGGCTCATGTCAAGAGTTGACCCCTGCAGATACAAGGAGCAGGGTTCCAGAGGCCAGCTGCTGGGCCAGGGGAGGGGTGAAAGCTGGTGGCAGAGGGGGTCACTTGTGGGGAGGGGCTCAGGGCAGTGGCTCTTTACCACCGGGCCCAGGATCGTTCCAGTACGTCACGGCTGGTACCACTGCCACAGCACGGCCGGCCGATATCAGCCCTTGGCCCAGAACCCTTGTCTTGGTCCTTGACCCTGAGCCTCTCTGGCCCTCAGGCTGCTCCTTCAGGCTGGCTACGACCCAGAGCTCCGGGATGGGGATGGCTGGACCCCCCTGCACGCGGCGGCCCACTGGGGCGTGGAGGACGCCTGCCGCCTGCTGGCCGAGCACGGTGGGGGCATGGACTCACTGACCCACGCGGTGAGGGCCGGGGCGCCCGGACCCTGGCAGGGGCGGGGCAGGGAGGGCCCCGCACCTTCTCCATCATCTGCCCCTCCGCCTCCCCCACGCAGGGGCAGCGTCCCTGTGACCTGGCTGACGAGGAGGTGCTGAGCCTGTTGGAGGAGCTGGCCCAGAAGCAGGAGGACGTGAGTCTCAGAGGCTCCCTGCCCTCCTGTCAGCACCTCAGAGGCTGGGGAGGGAGGGCCTCCTTGTCCCCCAACCCCCCGACGCCCACTGCCTTGGGGACCCCCCGACGCCCACTGCCTTGGGGACCTGCTCCTCCAGCTGGTGACTGAGACCCCATGGAGGGCCATGAGGAGGGCACAGCCAGGCAGTCGGAGGAGGCACGGTGTGGGGCCCAGACAGACCTTGGGATGCAGATGGGGGTAGTCTGTCGGCTGGGCTGGGCCTTGTCACCCTGGGATGCCCCCAGCCAGCACCAGGCCAGGCTTGGTTGCCGGAAAAACGTGGAGTGAAGGGGTGAACAGCGTGGACTCGGACTCTGAATCCCGGCTCTGCCATGGATTTGCTGTGCGAGCTTGGGCTGGTCACTTAACCTCTCTGGGCCTCAGTTTCTTCATCTGTAAAATGGGGATAGTAGTGTACATACTTTGCTTTATGAGGGGTTATGCAAGCTGTTGTGTAGAGTATATATGATGTTGTGAGGAGTATATGTGTTACTGAACAAGAGCAGTTAGAACCCTGCCTGGCGTACAGTAAGCGCTCCTGGGTAGCAAGAAACATCTCCCGGGGCCTCTTGGGGGCCTGGCCCTCTACCTGGAGCTTCCGGTGAGTGGCAGGTAGGCAGAGACAGACCCCTCTGTTAAAGGTCGGCTGTGGCAATGTCGAGGGTGACAGACTCAGGAGAAAAGGTCCTGGTTCCGGCTTGGTGGACTCAGGACAGTGTCCCAGACCCGGGCCAGGCATGCGGGGTGCGGGAACAGCACAGGCAAAGGCTAGGGGGTGGGAACATACGTGGTGCCCAGAGGGGAGCGTGAGGCAGGGCCTGGGAGAGGGGCAGACCCTGAAGGGCCTTTGCGCCAGGCTTCGGAGCAGAGTGAGGTGATGGTGATGGGAGTCCTGGGGGATTTTTAGTAGGTGAGGCAGGGTCAGCTCTCGGCAGGTGGGAGCACAGATGAGGTGTGTACCTCTCCCCGCCTGAGGCATCTGGGAACACTTTCTGGATGAGATGGGTCCTCCAGCACTCGGGGTTTGCTAGGAGGGGCGGGGATGGCTGGCACTCCTTGCTGGGGACACTGCACAGGCTGGGAGGTGTGGCTGGGAACCCTCACCCGGTGCCACCAAGCTCTGTTGTGCCTGAGAGTGTGCAGTGAGGGAGGAGGAAGGGCTGCTGGGCCAGTGTCCAGGTGTGCCGAGAGGTCGGGGAGAAGTTTGAGCAGGTCGCCCCTGGGAGGTAGAGAGACCCCTCTGGGGTCGAGACCAGAGATGGGGAAGCCGGGAGGTGGCCTTGAGAACAGGTCAGTGGCGGGAGCATATGGGGACTCGCACAGGAGACCCAGGGCGCCGCCTCCTTCAGATGCTGTGTGGCCATCTGTAGGAAAACTCGAATGAGTCCACAGACCCTCCGTGCCCACCCCAGGAACTGAGCTCCCTGTAGTCAGAGCACCCACACAAGGCATGACCAGTGCATAAGCTCTCAATGTTGGGGACGTGGAACCCAGGAGGAGCCTGCACGTTCTGCCCTCCCCAGCAGCCCTCTTCCCTTCTTGCAGCTGCGGAACCAAAAGGAAGCCTCCCAGAACAGGGGCCAGGAGCCCCAGGTGCCCTCCGGCAGCAAACACCGACGGTACGTGGGGAGCCTGGGCGGGTAGAGGGGCTGGAGGCTCCCCAGGGCTTGGACCCCAACGCCCTCCCTTCCCACCAGGAGCTCCGTGTGTCGTCTGAGCAGCCGTGAGAAGATCTCCCTCCAGGACCTGTCCAAGGAGCGCCGGCCCGGGGGGGCAAGGGGACCCCCCATCCGGGACGAGGATGAGAGAGAAGAAGGCCCCACAGGTGAGGGGCCAGGGTCTCTGCTCCTGAATCTGGAGAGGAGGGCCTGGGGGCCCGGACTCCCAGGTCCGAGGGAGGAGGGGCTGGTTCTCAGAGGCAGCTGGTATATTCTTGTGACCTGTCCCGTCTTTCTGTACCATAGAGCCACCCCCTGCAGAATCCACAACCCTGAATGGAGTCTCCTCCCCGCCGCCCCACAGCCCTAAGAGCCCTATGGTGAGTCTGGATGCCCCAGAGGCCATGCTGGCCTGGGATGGTGGGGGAGGGAAGCCATGGAGCCTGTAACCCCTCGTTGGGGTAGGTAGGGTAAAGACTACAGTTCCCAGAATCCTCTGGAACAAGTGACTGCCTTTTTTGGCTGCTCCTGCCATGGGGGCTGATGGGAATTGTTGTTTGTTGTGGTCCTTCTGGAGGTAACATTGGAAGTCTCTGAGAAGAGAGACCCTGTCTCCATAACTGAGACCTTTCTCTCCCGCAGCGCCCCGAAGAGGTCCCCTTCTCGAGGCGCTTTGGCCTCTTGAAGACGGGGAGCTCTGGTGCCCTGGGTCCCGCAGACAGGTGGGGGGCCGAGGGCGCCCCCGGGGCTGGGCTGCAGCGCTCAGCTTCTTCCTCACGGCTGGAAGGGACCTCCACTCAGGTGAGTGGGGTGAGGGGCAGGGGAACAGGCCCTGCCTAGTGGAGGAGAATACCCCCCTCCCCTCCTCTCCTCTCTCCACAGGCCAGGGAGCCCCGTCTTGCCCGAATTACCCCCACCCCCTCCCAGAAGGTGCCCGAGCCCTGCGCTCTGTGAGTACCAAGGGTCCCTCGGGGTGGGAGGCAGCTCTGGGTCCCAACCTTGTCAGCGTGGTCCTAAACAAGTCCATTTTCTTTCTGGGGTCTGGTCCCTATCCACCCGTTCCGCCCCCGCCCCGGCCCCAACTCTGCCTGTTTGCCTTTTGCTGCCTCAAGTAAACGCTAATAGCAACACTTCCAAAGCCTCAGGGATCTGGGCTCCTGTGGCCCCGCTACCCTGTCTCCCACAGTCCCTCTCACGGGCACACCCCCACCCAGGGCCTGTGCTCCAGCCCCCCTCACACCCTCGGGGCTTGCTGCCTCCCTCCCCCAGGTCTGTGTTTAAATGCCAGCTTCCCCGTGAGGCCCACCGTGACTACCTGCTCACACGGCAGGGTTCTGATGGGGCCCCTGCCGTATCAGGTCCTTGTTTCTTTTCTCCGAGGTACTTATCCTCCTGACATGTTATATGATGTGCTAATCTCTTGATGGTTATTGTTTATTTTGCATCTTTCTGCTCAGATTTGACTCGTCGGGGCAGAGATATTTCTTTTGCTCACTGCTGTATCTCTAGTGCCTGGCACATAATGCAAGCTTGAGTAATATTTGCTGAATGATTGAATCCACACAGGTCTGAGATCTGCAGGTCTCCTCCCTTGGATAACGCCAGTCCTCCCTCCAGGATTCCACAGCCTGAATGCCCAGTGAAGCCAAATGTCCCCGCAGCCTCCGCAGCGCCCCCAGCAGACTCCCGGGACCGCCGGAGGTGAGGAGGCCAGGGGCCAGAAGCTGCTGTCGCCCCAGCTGGGAGAAAACTACATTACCCAGAAGTCCCTGGGGCTTTGGGTGGGGCTCCTAAGGGAGAGTTTGTCCCAGGGTCAGCTGGGAGTTGAAGTCCCTGACTCCCCCTAAGGGTGTCAGCCATGGGATGGGGACAAAGAACCCTCCTTGAGGTCGGAGGCCCTTCACTCAGGTCCTACCAGATGCCTGTGCGGGATGAGGAGTCTGAATCCCAGCGAAAAGCTCGCTCTCGCCTCATGCGCCAGTCTCGGAGGTCCACACAGGTGTGGGGCATAGGATGAGGGGCTGGACTCCTTGGTCAGAGGGAGGAGGGGGCTGGGAGCCTGGACTCCCGGGTCTGGGGGGAGGTGGGGCTGGGAGCCTGGACTCCCAGGTCTGGGGGGAGGTGGGGCTGGGAGCCTGGACTCCCAGGTCTGGGGGGAGGAGGGGGCTGGAAGCCTGGATTCCCGGGTCTGAGGGAGGAGGGGCTGGGGGTCCCGACTCCTGGTTCTGAGGGAGGAGAAGCTGTGGGCCTGGACTCCTGGGTCTGAGGGAGGAGGGGCTGGGGGCCTGGACTCCCAGGTCTGGGGGGAGGAGGGGCTGGGGGCCTGGATTCCCGGGTCTGAGGGAGGAGGGGCTGGGGGCCTGGACTCCTGGGTCTGAGGGAGGAGGGACTGGGGGCCTGGAGTCCTGGGTCTGAGCGAAGAGTGTCCAGGGGCCTGGACTCAGGTCCTGAAGGGGCTGGGTCCTGAGTCCCTGGCCGGTTGTCTGCCCCCTCTCCATGCCAGGGTGTGACTCTGACCGACCTGAAAGAAGCAGAGAAGGCTGCAGGGAAGGCCCCAGAGCCAGAGAAGTCGTGCCTGCAGAGCCTGGTGAGAGGGGTCAGGTGACCGGGCAGTGGGTGGTACAAGACCCTCCTCCTCTGACCCCGTGCCCCTCTCCCACAGGACCCTTCCCGGCGGCCCCGAGTCCCTGGGGTCGAGAACTCTGATGGCCCTTCCCAGAGAGGTGAGGTCTAGTCTCTGGGAGGTTGTCCTCCTGGCCCACCTGATCCTTCCCGCTATAGTCTTCTTGGTTTCCTAGGGTCTTGGGCCCAGGGACCCTGACACCGCAGAGAGGGGCCCCTCCCCAGGTGCCTGGGCTGATTTCTGCCCCTCCCCCAGCAGAGGCGCCCGACGGGCAGGGTCAGGGACCACAGACCTCCAGGGAGCACCGCAAAGTCGGCAAGGAGCGGAGGGGGCCAGCGGAGGTGAGGGTGGGGGCAGGGGGCGAGCTGGGACTGTGGGCCGGCCAGTCTCCCCTACCGCATCTGGCTGAACCCCACCTCCGCCCACAGGGGGAGGAGGCAGAGCCGGTGGACCCCAGCCCGGAATCCAGGTACCAGGCGGGCAGGGAAGGGTTTGCGTTGTCTGTAGGGCCGTGGGGCGTGCCCCCTGACGCCCTACTCTGCCTCCACCCCAGCACTCTCAAGGGTGCCCCCTCATCCCGCAGGCAGCGGGATCTCAACCCCGAACCCGCGGCAGAATCGGAAGAGCCAGACGAAGGCTTCAGGAAGGTTCGCGATCCCGCCCCACGATCGGTGCCAAAACTAAGCCCCACGAGAGTCGGCCTTTACATACCTGCCCTCCTGCCCCCTGTGCAGTGGCTCTGCCTGCCCGACCCCCGCACCCCGCCTTCCGTCCCGGGCTGGCAGGCCTGACCGGTTTCCCTCCTCCCGGTGCCCCCAGCTGTACGCAGAGCTGCGCATTGAGAACGAGCGACTTCGCGAGGCCCTGACTGAGACCACACTGCGGCTGGCGCAGCTCAAGGTGGAGCTGGAGCGCGCCACGCAGGTGAGGGCGCCACGCAGGTGAGGGTGCCAAGGCCCTGGAGGTGGCCGGAACATGCCAGTGCGGGGCTCAGGACCCCTGGGTGGGGGAGCACTGGCAACGAGGGGTGGGGTCTGAGCTGGGCTCTGCCATCTGGGGGGCGGGGCTCGGGCCCCTGGGAGGTGGGGCCTGAGCAGCAAGGGGAGGGCCTGGGGGCGGGCCCGGTCTTCTGGGGGCGGGGCTTGAGTGACGAGCGGCAAGGCTGGTGGTGTTGAGCAGTGGGCAGCGAGGTCGGGGCCAGCCTGGAGCCTGGATTGCCTTCCCCCTCCCTGCCCTGCTGGTTGCCCCTTCTTGGCCACTGCAGTTTGGACGTTTCTCTGACCCCTGTGCTTTTTCCGTCTTCACCAGAGGCAGGAGCGCTTTGCAGAGAGGCCGGCCCTTCTGGAGCTGGAGAGATTCGTGAGTAGGGGCACCTGGAGTGGGGCCAGATGTGTCTCCAGCCTTACACGCCCATGCGGGGGTGGGTGAAGAGGGCCACACAGGCCTTCTAACATGCCCTCTGACCTTCCCCACCTTTCTCAGCGTTACTTGATCTTTGGCCCTCACCTTCCCCTGTTTATTCCAGGAGCGCAGGGCCCTGGAGCGAAAGGCAGCTGAGCTGGAGGAGGAGCTGAAGGTGAATCTTAATGGGGCACTGTGGGCAGTGGGCGAGGGTGGGTAGTGGGTTCAGCCTGCCCAGGACCACCCAGCTGACCCTGTCCGATCCCACAGGCCCTGTCCGACCTCCGGGCTGACAACCAGCGGCTCAAGGATGAGAACGCAGCCTTGATCCGCGTCATCAGCAAACTCTCCAAGTGACTCTGGAGGAGGGCCTTCCCTGCACCCGTATTTATACAGCTGCTTCCGCCACACGCACCCCTTTCCTGTGTGAACACGAGTGCCAGGGCTCCCAGGGAGTCTCTGAGAAGCCATAACCTCCCCTGGGGACCTCCAGACTGAGGGCAGTACAGGGTCCCCAGGAGCCAAGGGGGGCCATCCAAGGCCAAGATGGAGGCAGGAGGTGAGCCAGGTAGAGGGATTTTGCTGAGGGGGGACCAGGGCTGGAGGTGGGACCAGGAAGGCACCGAGGACCAGGAAGTGCCAGGACCAGTAGCCAGGACCAGAGTGGCCGCCCGGAGGTGCCCCCTCACGTGTGTTGCCACCCCAGTCACCCCTCCCGCTCCTGAACAGGGATCCGAGAATGTGCCAAGAGTCCCGCCAGCCTCGGCCAGGAGGGCCTGTATATAGGGTCCGTGTGCAATAGGGAGGGATGTCTTCTATTTTTTGCTGCCCCCTCCCCGCCCACTGTCCGGGGCAGGGGGAGAAGGTATTTTCGAGACAAAGCACAGGCATCACAAATAAAAGTCGTGAAGTTGCCACTCAATGATGGCCCCCCACTGGAGGTGGGGTGCCACTTCTGTGCTCGGCCCGTGCGTGTCAGTGACCAAAACACAGGCCCGTGTGGGTGGGGTGCTGAGGGATGGGTAGCTGTGTGCTCACTGGGTGGGAAGGGGCTTCAGGAAAAGCCGGGGCTGACGTGCTCACTGCAGGGTGGCTTGGGCTGGGGCAGGGTCAGCCGAGGGGGACGAGGGGGCTGTGAATCTCAAGCTGGGGAACTTGGGTCTTAACCGTCAGTGGTTTTGAAACAGGTTGGAGTCAATTGCTACTATTTAAAATCTGGGGTAATTCACATATAGAAATCTGGAATTTGAGTTCTCTGAAAAAATAGGAAGCTGTGATGTTGTTAGCTCTTCAGTCCTGCATGGTAACAGTTGGCTGGAGCTGAGTAGGAGCCATCTTCTGAGATGGGGCATTCATTCATTCATTCATTCATTCATTCTTGGTCATATTCTACTTGCCTGGCCCTATCCTAGCTGTTGGTGATACAGTAGTGAATGAAACCAGCAAAGACCCCATACGTTTTAGGAGGAGAGGCATAAGGCATCCAGTGATAACATAAATGTATTTCAGGGGGTGGTGCTATGGAGGAAAAGCAGGGGAAGGGGATAGGGAGGCTGCTGTGTGTGTGTGAGCACATGTGTGGTGTGCTTTGTACAGGGTGGTCAGGGTAGGCCTCACTGAAAAGCTGGCATAGGCAGATACTTGACGGGGCCAGGGAATGAGCCATGTAGGTATTTGAGAGAAGAGTCTTTTGGATGATGAGAACAGCACGTGCAAAGGCCCTGGGGTAGAAGTGTGCCTGATATGTTGAGGCACAGGAAGAAGCCGGTGTGGCTGGAGGGAAGTAGCATGGGATGAGGTTGGAGAGGTAATGGCTAGCCATGTAGGGACGTGGCCCTGGTAAAGACTGGAGCTGTGAGGAGGGACCTAGGTTTTAACAGGTCCCTCTGGCTGCTGCATTGAGAATAGACTGCAGAGTGGTGTTGGTGAGGGACAGAAACAGGGAGACCGGCTAAAGGGCTACTGCTTTAATCCCAGTAAGAGGTGATGGTGGTTTGGACCAGGGTGACAGTGGTGGAGATGGTGAGAAGTGGTTGGATTCTGGGACTAGGATGATCTGACAGGTTGGACTGTAATAGGAATGGGGCTCAGGCCCAGCTTGCTCACGTGGGTTAGGTGTCCGGCTCCTACAGGCATTCCAGTTTGCAACCCTAGATGGCGGCAGCCATGGGGGTTTACTGAGGAGGGAAAACTGGTTGGAGCAGGCAGGTTTAGGGGACCACTTGCATCTCTGGTTCCTCTTTTAGAAATGAGGGCTGGGGCACCAGGCGTGAGGTTAATGGGCGATTGGACACCCTTGAGGGCCGAGGGTGTTTCATGCAGAAGGAACAGCATGAACTGATGCCTGGCAGCAGGAAGGGGGGTGAAGCAGAGCGCTGTGCCCGAGAAGCTGGTGAGCCTGGCTGGCCGCAGGCCCTCGGCTGCGAGCTGGAGCTTGGATTTTATCTGATGGCCGTGGGGAGCTGAGGGAGGTATGTGAGCAGGGGCTAGGGACGGGTTGAGGTGGGAAGGAGTCCTGGAGAGCTCATGTGTCCTGGTGGCAGAGGGAACCCAAGGCAGGAGGGGGGCCAAGTGGGGACTGAGAACCAGAGCTCCTGCCGGCCCATGGCTGCGTCTCTGATCCCGTCTGGTTTTGGAGGCCGCCCTGTGGTGGCTCAGGTAGAAGCCGAGCTCCAGGGGGAGAGGCTGGTGGGAATTCTGGCGAGGGAGCTTGGCACTGGGCGTTCTGGGGAAGCAGAAGGAGCCACGGAGGAAGAGGAAAGGGCGTTCTTCCCAAAGCTGGAGGAACATCCAGTCTCAAGGAGGGTGGGTCCCAGAGGAAACCAGTCCTGAACCAGCCGGATCATGGGAAAAAGTTACCAGGTGGCCAGAGGGGAAAGGGGCTGGTTTGGGGGTGGGAGGGGTGTGTGTTTGGGGGGTTGGGCAGGGTTAGGAAGCTTCCACTTAGGCTGTCATCTCACAGGATGAAGAGTGGCCAGGAAGCCTGTGGCACGTTTGGGAGGCAGCCAGTTCTGCATGGCTGGACCCCTGGCAGGAAGTGGGGGACAAAGTGGAGAAGTGGATGCTGGGATACTAACCTGGGGGATGAGGGCAGGCTTCCCCAAAGTGGGTGTTTGAGTTGGGCCGGGAAGGCTGAATAGGAGTTCACCAGGCAGAGAATCTCTGTTCCAGCCAGCAGAAACCAGCAAATGCAAAACCCCAGTGGTTGAAGGGGTTTGGGAGTGTTTAGAAAAGGGCAGGTCCAGAACGCATGGCAGAATGAAGAGGTAAGAGATAGGAGAGGTGGGTAGGGACCAAACCACTCAGGGCTGCAGAGCTAAGAGGGCCATGGAGAGCCAGAGAAGGATTTTGATCAGGGTGTGGGCTGGGATCTTGAGCGTTCAGACGACCCCTCTAGAGTGAACTGGAGGACAGACCGGAGGCCGGGAGGTTGGGAGGAGGCCTGGGTTGGGGCCCCAGGAAGGGAGAGAAGGATTCAGAGAAAGAAAGCAAAGAAGGTGGGGACATCTCCTAGATTCCTTTCCCACTATGAGGCTGTAGCTGGGGCGAGGGCAGGTGCCTGGGCCCCCTGGTAGCCGGGTAGAGAAGGGACAACAGTTGACACCGCCTGATAAGAAGAGGCTGTTTATAGACTGGGCAGCATATCTCCATGCACAGGGCTCCCGAGCGCGCCCTCTCCCGGGGCGCGCCGATGGCGCTTTTTCTAAATTGCGCCCCGCTGCCCTCCCCGCTCCAGTCCGCGAACGCTCGCTCAGGAGACTCCTGCAAGGACGGGCCAATTTATCCACCGGGCGGGAAGACCAGGACCGGAACGGGTCGGCGATCCTTCGAGGGGTCTACTTCCATCGGTGGGGGCAGTCTGCAGAGTCCGTGCTCCCACAGGGCTGCCCCGAAACTCGCGGAGAGCCGGGAAGGAAGGGTCAAATGACCTCCGTTTCCATCTCGCCTTCCACCTTCCTCTTTTGCTTCTCCATCACCGCCTGCAGCTCTGACACTTTCTCTTTGTCCTGGAGGGCGGGTGCAAATCAGGACCCTGGCGTCCGGGCCCTCGGCGCGCTCCCGGGTCGGGCCCAGGGACGAGCGTCCCGGCTCACCTCCAGCAGCGCGCGCTGCACCGTGACCTGGCTGTACACTCGCGCCCCCTCCTCGGGGCTCACCGCCCGCAACTCCTCCTTCTGCAGCGAGAAAAGCTGCGCGCCGGTCAGCACGCCCAGCGCCTCCACGGTCCTAGGCCGGGGCAGCGGGGGCGCGGTCAGGCCTGCCGGCCAATCACAGCTCAAGCCCCCCAGCCCCACCAATCACTTCACGCCCGTCTAGCCGTTGTCCAATCAGCAGCATTCTAACTCGAGCGGGGGTGGGGCGCTGCTGAAGTCTCCTGAATTCCCACCCACCAATCAGCGCGCCTTGCGCGGGCGGGGCTGAGCACTACTTTCGGAGGGAGGCGGGACTACGCTGGAGGCTCCAATCGGAGTCCGAGAAAACATGCCAATCATAGCCTGCCATTCATTTTGCAAGCAGACGGACCCTCGCTTTGGGCCAATCCTAGTTCCCCATGGTCCGCCACGCCCCCCCCCCCCGGGCCAATCAGAACGCTCTGCCTCTAGCACCCATATTTCGGGGCCCTCGAGCCCGCACCCGCCACACTCACCCGGAGCTAAAGCCTTTGGCCTGCAGCCAGGCGCGGACCTCCGAGGCGTCCGAGCGCGGGCTGAGCTGCGGCTCCGGGGCGCGGGGGCCCGGGGCTGCGCGGCTGGGGCCGGAGCGGCCCTGGGCCAGGCGTGCCTGCAGCTCCTCGTTGACACTGAGCATCTGGGAGAATTTGTCTGCAGGCGGGAAACCGGAAGGGAGGGCGGACTCAGGGCGCAGGGTCCTGGGGCCAGAGGATCGGGGACCTCCAGGGTCCTCTGATGGGTTGGGAGTCCACTTACTCTTTCTGCGCCTCGGTTTCCCCGCCTGGAAAGCGAGGACAAGGACTGCTCCTTCCAGGGGTTGCCCCCACCTCTCACCTTTCTCTCTGGGGTCCAAGTTGTTGAGGCTGTCGCAGCTGTCCCAGCGGGGCCGAGCCGGGGCAGGAGCCGGGGCAGGAGCCAGGGCCGGGGCCGGTGGAGGAGGGGGAATGCTATTTTCCTAGAGGACCGAGAGGAGCACCTGGATCAGAGAGAGGACTCAGAGTCCAAGCCCCTTCTTCTGGAGATAAATTTCTGAACCTTCGCGACCTCCTCTGCCGGTGCCCGTGACCATGATACCTGATCCCCGCACCACTCGTTCCCAGGACCCAGAATCTGGCCCCCAACCCCTCTTCCCTCAAGACCCGGGAGTCTGCCCCGGCTCACCAGGCTGCGGGCAGGGCTTTGGCTGCGGCTCCCCGGCGGCCCGGGGTGGGGTGTCAGGATATTATAGGGTACATATCCCTCCTTCCCCCAGGGGTCCCGAACCTTCCACCATTTGCGCCTGTCATCTAGGACCTGGGGGAGGTAAACGGGGAGGGTTCAGAGCCTATGTCTGCAGCTAGGGCTGGATCCACTCCAGCCGCCAGGCCCCCACTCCTCTAACCTCCAACACGTCCCGCTGCTTGACGGATAGCTCGCTGCTGTTGCGGGCCTGGAAGTCATAGTTACATAGGACCCACTTCCCCGCCGGCTCTGGCTCCGGCTGGGGCTCAGCTTCTGGCTCCGGGTCTTGGTGACTGAGGAGAAGGGGGAGGGTTGGGGATAAGGAGACAGCCAGCTGCATTGCTCTGGGCTGTAGGGTTTTGGTGTGAGCTGGGGTTAGAGCCAAGCAGGGGTCAAGGCAGGGGGCCGGGTTAATCCTGTTAACAGAGTTTTGAAATTGGAATACCAGCTTGAATACATTGTGCTCCTTACCTGCCTGGCACCGTGTGGTAAGCACATGATATGGGTACTAGCACCACTTCCCTTTTATAGATAAGAACATTCCGGCTCAGAGAAAATCACTTGCCCCAGATCACACAGCTAGAGACAGCTGCTATTTATTGACCATTTACTATGTACTGGGCTCATGCATAATGATCACCATAGTCATAACAAAGACTATAGCACTTACTTACATGCCAGACACTGTTCAAAGTCTGTTCCATATATTAGCTGATTTGATTCTCAAGACAACTCTTGGTAAAACCATGAATTGGGACCTCTCATTCTCTTCCTCTCCCCAGAGACCCTATTATTATCTCTATTTTGCAGGTGAGGAAGTGGAGGAACAGTGATGTAAAGAGACACGGTGATGTAAAGGTCACAGAGCGAGAGAGGCGTACCCAGACTGGGAGCCAGGCAGGCTGGCCCCAGAGTCCATGTCCCATGTCCTGAGTAATTCTGCTCTATTGTGCATGCTGCTGGGTGTGAATCTGAGCTCTGCCACCACCTGGAGCCCTTAACTGCTAGCCTGCACAACCTCACAGACTTCTCACTCTTCTGAGAAGGGATTACTATTATTCCCATCTTCCCTGCAAGGTACTTGAGGCGCAGAGGAGACTTAAAAGCTGAGGGTGTCAAGTCCAAGATTCAGAAGCACAGGGGCTGGGGGAGGGGGTTCTGCAAGACCAGGCAGCTGAGGGGGGAGGGAGAGTGGGATTTTGGCTCTGACCCCCCAGTAAGAGGGACCCCAGCCCGGATCAGGCCTACCTGTGCAAGGGAGAGGGGGTGTCTTCAGGGCCGCGGCGCCCCCTGTGTGGGGCTGGCAGCTCCCAGCACGCTGTCCCTGCTGAGACCCTCTGCCCAGGCACTCACCCAGAGTCCCTTTCCGTTCCTCAAGCCTTGCTGCTTTCCTTTCTTCTCATCCCATGCGGCCTCCCTCCCATCTGCCCTGACTTGCCCAAGGGCCCTAGAGTCCTGGCCTCTCTAGCCCCTTCCTGCCCTAGGACCCAAGAGTCTGCACCCCCATTGCTTGGTGGAACCCTAAACTTGGATCCCCAGTTCTTTCCTTCCCCAGAGACCCAGGAGCCCAGGTCTCAAGCTTTAATTTCCTGGCCGTTTTAACCTCTAAAGGCTCCCAGTCTGACACCCCGCAGGAACTGAGACAATTGCTTTAAAGCCTTGGGAAAGTGAGGGTCCAGCCTCCCAGCCTTTACCTCTCTCGGGAGTCCCAGAGATATTACCACTTCCTAATTTTCCCAGAAAGCTGCCCCTCCACCCTGGAAGGCCCAAGCCTGCTTCTCCGGCTCTGCAAGGTCCCAGCACCAGACTTGAGCTCTTCTTCAAAGCTCAGATGTCCAATTCCCCAGCCTCTTCCCTCCAACACCCAGGGCTCTGGCCTCGTAGGGACCCAGGCAGGGAGCTTCCCAGGCCCTGGGAAACCAAACTGCCTTCTTCCAGCCCTTTGGGGACCCAGGGGTCCAACCTCTTAACTTTACCCACTCCCAGCACCCTCCTCCCATGGAAGCCTGGTATGTGGGCCTCCAGTCCCCTCCTCCCTTGGACCCACAAGTCTGGGCCCCGCCCCCTCCCTCCCTGCTCCTCCCCCCTCTCCCAACCCCGGCCCCGCCTCCTCACCACCTCACCCACCTGCGAAGAGCCGGGAAGATAGAAGGAAAAAGACAAGAAAAAGGGGGCCGGAGTCAGCGCTGGGAGCCCCCAGGACGCACCCCTCCTGGACCCCACCTGCCCTGCCCTGGGGCCGACACTCACCCATTGACAGCGACCTGGGGGGCGCTTTGCTGCAGGAGATAAGAGGGCAGCAAGTCAGGCGGGGCTGGCCCCGCTACGTTGCCTGGGGAAGCCTGCTGCTCCCATCGAGGACTTAGCCTCACCTGCCGGCGCCGCCGCTCGTGCTGTAGCTGTTTCTCTACCGGCTCCTCCCAGGCGCGGCCCTGCGGGTCAGTGGCCGGGGGCTCCCAGCCGCTGTAGAAGTCAGGGCTGTATGGGGGTCCCTCCTCCAGGGGCAGCTCCAGCCTGCGACCAAGGACCGGGCCGAGGCCTCAGGGATGCTGGTCCGGTCGCCTACTTAGCCTTAGCTTCACTAAGTTCTCCCCTTTCTTCTAAGCCCCGCCCCTGCCTCTAAGCTCCACCCATGACATCAATTATATTTCTAATTACACTGATTCCACCCTAATACCTCTAAATCCGACCTCTGATTCCAAACAGGGTTTCTAGCCACACGCATCCCTCCCTGGTTCTGCTCCTTCGCCCTTGAAGCGCTCAGCCTCCAAGCGCACAGACTTCACCCGCTTTCCAAACCCACAGGCCAAACCTTTCATAAGCCCCAACCCGTTCACCTAAGCCCCGCCCCCTTCCCGTGGCCCCGCTCCGTTTCTCTAAGCCCCGCCTTTTGTTCCAGTTCGAGTGTCTGGTTCAGTCTTAAACCTCTCCTTCATGCTAATTTCTGATTTTTCTTCCAATCGGATGCTGGCATTTGTTCTAGGTCCCACCGCTCTTCACTGGCCACACCCTCCCAGCTAAGCCCCGCCTCCAACCCCCCAGTCCCACCTTCTTTTCCAATCACCACGCCCCTGCCTTCCAGGCCCGCCCCAATTGCCACGCCCCTACCTCCCAGCCCCGCCCTCGTTACCACGCCCCTGTCATCCAGGCCCACCCAATCACCACGTCCCTGCCTTTAGCCCCGCCCCTGCCTTCCAGGCCCGCCCCCAATTACCAGGCCCCTGCCTCTAGCCCCGCCCCTCCAATCCCCACGCCCCTGCCTCCCAGCCCCGCCCTCCAGTTACCACGCCCCTGCCTCCCAGCCACGCCCCTCACCCCGGGCAGGTCCACCAGTCCCCCAGCGAGGTCCAGAGCGCGTTTTCTCGTGGGGTGACATTGTCCCGCAGCAGCGCCACGGCGTCGCACGTCAGGTGCGGCCGTCGCACGCTGCTCGCGAACTGGGGGCCACCTGTCGTGTCCACAATCTGCCAGGGGAGTAGGAGTGGGCACGCCATCAGACCTCCTAGAAGTCGAACCCCGATTCCTCCTGCTGCAGGGGCAGACCTGAGGGCCCGGTAGTCTGACCATTTGCAGAGGTCCGAACAGGAAGTGCAGCAGCTCTGGGGAGGAGGGGTTGGCGATGTTGCCGCGCAGCCGGGCCTGCGGAGCAGCGGGGTGCTGGTATTAGCGCTCGGACCAGTTGGGTTCGCGCCCTCCTGCCCCCTGACGCCCCGGGCTGGGCGCGTCCTCACCAGCAGGCTGAAGGCGTACTTGATTTTCTGAAGCACGTCGATGTACTCGGCCTCCAAGGGCGGCTTGGCCCGCAGGGTCAGGAGGCCCTCTATGGGTAGGGGAGGCAGGCATGGGGATGGGGGACACAGGGACAGCGGCAGACAGGGTCAGAGGGAGAGGTAGAGACCCGGTGAGACCGCGATGGGGAGTCAAAACTGGCAGGGGGGCTAGGGGAGACCATAGGGATTGGGAGGACATTGTGGAGTGACCGTGGATGTGCAGGATCCCACTCTTGGGGCCCCTCACCCCCGGCCTCCCGGCGCCGGGTCCTGCGGCCGCGCTCGCGGTGTTCCAGAACTCGGGCAGCTTCCGCAGCCTTCTGCAGCCTCGAGACGAAGCTCTCCACGTCGTCGAACACGTGGTTTAGGATGTCCTGGGGGACAGAGCAGGGGGGACCCCTGAGACCCTCCCGGATCCTCATCAACCCGGTCAAAACCCTCAAGCCAAGAGCGCAGAGACACCCTCCCAGGCCAAGCCACGCCCTGTGATGCGCGGCCCTGTCCCCATATTTCAGCCACGGCCGGCCACACCCCCCACCAGAAGTCTGACCACGCCCCAAAGCCAAGCCCCTCTTCCCCCCTGTAGGATTCCACCCCTACAGCCGGTCCCTCCCCTCCCCTACCCCCACCCCGCTCACCACTTCCCGCTCCGCCTGCAGACCGGCCAGGTCCGGGCCGCGGGGGCCCAGGTCAGGGGAGGCCGGGTCAGCGCCGCTAGAGGTCGCCGCCGGGCCGGGCCTCCGCGCCTCCTCCGCCTCGGGGATGGGCTCCACCTGCGGTCGCCCGCGGCCCGCGGCCGGCTCCACCGTGCTGATCACCGCGCGGATCGACGGGCGGCGCTGCAGGGGCGGGGTCTCCGCGGCAGGATAGGGGCGGCGCTGCAGCTCCTCCTGCGTGGCCCTGCGGGGGGAGAAGGGGAAACTGAGGGTGGGTCCACTGAGGGGGTCCAGCGAGGGGAGAAATTCGGGGCTTAAAACGGATACACTGTGTGGCCCAAGGGAGTCAAACTCCAGCTCAGAGTGGTAGGGAGAAATCCAAGATATGGGGAGGGGGAGCACTTCTTCAGAGGGAAACTGAGGCCAGACGGAGGAGAAACCGAGGACCAGAAACAGGAAAAGTGGATTCTTGGAGAGGGGGTACACTTGTCTGGGAGGTACACGCGAGACTTGAACCCGGCTTTGTTTGACTCCATTCAAAACCCGTTCTGTTCTAGGCTAGTGGTATCAGCCCATTTCTCGGACGGGGAGATTGAGGCCCAGAGAGGGCCTCCCAGGGACCCTACCCGTCCTTCTCCCCCGTTTCCAGCCCAGCCCCTTACCTGAGCGCCGCCGCCCGGCGCTCCCCGCGGCCCGAGCGGTAGTTGAGCACGGCTCCCTGAATGTCCTCTCGGATCAGCTCCGCCTGCCAATCACGCCGTCAGGCCACGCCCCACGCCGCCCCCTGCCCGACCCCGGCCAGGCCCCCGATGGATTCCTTGGCACGGCCCCAGACCACGCCCAGTCCTCGTTCCCACACTGCGCCCCCGCACGGCCACGCCCTAGACTCACACCCTCGCCCTAAATCTGCCCCTGCCCTAGGCCACATCCCCAGCCACGGAGCCCCCATCCTAGCTCTGGCTGCCCCCAGACCCGCTCTCCTGTGTTCTGTGCGAGTCCTTGACCTCCGGCTACATACCACCCTCCCATTCTGTCTCGACCCTGTGTCTAACCTGTTCTCAAAGCACCCTCCCTTCTAGAACACGCCCCCTCCACTGGCCCTGACCCTGCCTTTGCCCCAGGCCGCGTCCCTCTCTAGAGGCCCGCACCACTTCGGCGCCAGCTGGGGCTCAATTCCAGCCCTCCCCCCACCCCCGGGATCCGCGGGGTCGCAGCCGTGTCCTCGGCGGTGGTCCCCGCTCCCGGCCGCTCACCCCGAGACGCAGGCCCTGGAAGAAGTGCACGTCCGGCTGCGCGCGCTCCGGCTCCTGGCACACGAGCAGCAGCAGCGAGCGGCTCCGGCCGGGCGGCAGCACCGCGTCGCAGCGCACGATGGCGCCCAGCGGGTACGATTCCAGCTCCTCCTGCGGGGTGGGACGGCGGGTAAACTGAGGCCCGGACCCGATGATAACTGCTCAACGACCGCAGTAGTGCAGGCCCTGCGCAGGGCAACCCCACGAGGTTAGGGGTTAGGGATAACACCCCTGTTTAATAGACGAGGCTAATAAGGCTCAAAAAGGGGGTAGGGGTCCCTTGCCAAAGTTCCCAGAGGATGGACGTGCAGGGGTCAAGATTCACACTCTAATCCCTGACGTCCCTAGGGCCAAGCTCTGCATGCCTCGCCAGCGCGGTCCGGCTGCTCCTGGCCCCCACTTGCCCCTGGCACCTTGGAGGCGGGGTCGAGCAGCGTGACGTGGTCGGGAGACACGCGCAGCAGCATCTCCTGGGCCCAGACGCGGCCCTGGCTGTCCATGAGCGCCAACTTCCGCGAGGCGTCCTCCACCGTGTGCACGCCATCCTCCTCACCCAGGCAGAACGTCACCAGGTGCTGGCACGGGCCGCAGAGAAAGCAGTGAGTCCCAGGATGAAACCAGGCGGGCTCAGAATCCCCTGGGATCAGCCTTCCAGCCTGCGACTAACCACACCTCCTCCTGGAAGCCTTGCCTGATCACCTGCTCCACCTATCGGCGCCTCCTCCTAGTGCCCTATATTTCTCTCAGCGTAACTAGCACCTAAGTCAGTCTTCCCACCAAGACTGGAGGCTCCTTGAAGGCAGGGAATGGTCTGGATTATATCTAGACCCTTCTAAACTCCTCTACCGTCATTAGAGCTCCTGGCAGCCTTTGCTGGACGAGTCTAACCCCTACTCATCCAGGAGCCTTTAATTTGTCCCTGTGGCCCGACCGTCCAGCACAAGAGCTGGTTTGGAGGAAAAGTTGGCAGATGCGAGTGGACTTGAGTTCCTCCACTCAATACCCACATCAGAGGCAAGGCACAGGAAGTCCATTTTGCAGCTGAGCAAACAGTTTCCCAGGTTCTTTCTGCTTGGAGGCCCAGTTGCTTTCAACCCACCCTCCTGAGGCCCATCTTTCCTTCCATAAAACTCCCTTTGGCAACGTGGACCCCAGACTCACATTGACTGGATACTGGGAAACGTCAGCCATGACCACAGTGGAGTAACGCTTCCTCTGCTCTGCGGAGGGAAGGAGAAGGGGCCCAGGAGTCCAGGCCCCCAGCCCTACTCCCTCAGACCCGGGGGTCCGGGTCCCCTGGCCCCTCCTCCCTCAGACCCCAGGAGTCCAGACCCCCGGGGTCCCCTCCTCCCTCAGACC